AAAGTGGTCGCTTTTCTGTTCAGAGAGTTGTTGCTCTTCTTTTCTTTGATCTCCTGTTGAGTTTGTAGGTGTTCAGAATGGTTTGATCCCTATCCAACTGAATTCCTGAGAGGAGACGAAATCCAGGTCTCCTACTCCTCCGCCATCTTGCTCCGCCCCCCGGGGCTTGTTTTTGATGGTGGCGGTCTCCTGCTCCAGGATGCTGCCTTTCCAGCTGACATGGTGTGGTAGCACGTGACTAGCTCACGTGAGGACAGTGTGGCCCAGAAACTCTATCTCTGGGCTCTGGAAGTTTGTTAATGCTGCTACTCTAGATCACTGAAGATCGAACTGTTTACGTTCTCAGTGACCATAAGGTCTGGGGCATGGACCCACATGGCAGCCGGTATATAGTTACTTGTGACTTCCTGGAGGTAAAGAAGAATCACATTCATCCTATGGGATGGCAGCTTGAACACTCACAGGCAGAAAGGGATCACCGGGTGCCCAAACAGAAGGGACCTAATTGTGCTAGGCCAGCAGAGACAAAGTTGGTATTTGGGGATGTGGGTGCCCAGAGAATGAAGATTCCTTGAATTGGCTTGTGAGGTCAGAGATGTGGGGCAGAGTTGGGGCTGGGGAAGGGCTGTCTTGATTTAGACTGCTCTGCAGGCCAGGAGGAGCTGGCGGCGGGGGGGGGTGGGGGGGGAGGTGGCGCCTGAGCTCTGTGCACTTGTCATTCACGAAAGTCCTGGGGCTTTCTGAGGGCACTTTAAGGTTTCAAAACTTTTACTGTAAGTTTTTCTTGTGCTTTTGTTTGCTCATTTTTTTCCCTTTATTTGTTTATTTTTGGGCAGACAGCCTCTGGTCCTAAGGACATAAATACCATTTCGCAGGGATACCAGACCTTTTGGGCAGCGGCACTCCCCCGCTGGTCTAAAAACACAGCTCCCAGGAGGCAGTCCATTTGATTAGCACTGGGGAGGGAAAGGAAAAAGGAAGGGCTCGGGAAGCAGAAAGCCTGTGTGTGCAGGTATAACTTGTCATGTCCCTGGGAACTGAGCTGTGAAACTGAAGAGCTCCAAGAGATAGAGGGGTCCCAGGTTTCTAGCAAGAAATAGCTCCAGACCTCTGAGAAGCTATGGACCTGAGCATGGAGATTCCAGTTACTCTTACTATCCCTTCCTGCAGGTGACTCTGGGATGGGATTTTTCTGGGGGTTGAGATATGAATGATATCTCAACAGGAGGGGTGGTAAGTCACCACCAGCTTGGGCAGACTAATAGCTTGGCCTCATTCATACCATTGCCTGATGCCTAGTGTCCACCATAATGGGGCTGGGCCATCCACTATGCAAAATGCTCCTCAATTAGCTGGGAGTTAGGGCTCTGTGGGAATTCCTGAGGAGTGTACTCACAGCAGGCCCCATGTACATGACATGGCCTGCTGTGCCTGAAACAGGCACACCCAATTTGGCACTGGGCCCTATTCACTGGTGAACCCAGTGATGCCATTAAGCTGCACCGACTTTGCTGCTGCCCCTCCTGGGAGAAGGCCGCTCTGCCTTCAGCTGCGGCCCAGTTCAATCAGTTCTGGAACCTGGTCGTACAGCACCGCTTATGGCCCTCTCCGAATCGCAATCATTCCAACACTGTTCCTGCAGGACAAGCAGCCAGAATTCTGTAACATCTCAGCTGACTGGAGGAGATAGGGGGTGACTCAACCCACCAGCTCTCTCAGAGGTAATACCAAAAGGGCTCTGAGCTACACTGGCCCCCAAGTGCCACTGCTTGGCCGCATGAGCAGCGCTGCCCACAGCTCAGCGACCCCAACAAGCAAGATATTAGAAACAGTCTCTTTCAGGCTCATCTTCACACCAGAGATTCTGGCTGTCTATAAAGAGTGATAAGTGTATGAGGGAGATGGGAGAGTTTGCGGGATCGCCTGTGAACTGAGGATGAACAGGGGCCAGACTTGGGGGCATCAGCAGTATTTTTAACATAAGATTAGACTTTCTGCCCTCCCTTCTGTTATTGGGCTGAAGGTGGCCCTTAGACATCTGTGTTTCCCTCTCACTGTACCATGTATGTACACCAGAGCAGCGACTAATTTACTCATTTTATAACAGCAACAGGGAAGGGCTGTTGGAATTGGTGGTTCTAGAAAATACGTCCAAAGCTGATGAGGCACTATGTCAGTGCTTGGATCCCAAGGAGCTGGGCCTGGGGCCAGATCCTCCCTGAGATAGACCCAAACTGGAGATACTGTCCAGTCAGAAGCCCATAAGTAGAGTCAAACCTGAGGAAGATCAAGTCAAAAAGGTCAAAGAGAGAATGGGAGTCAGAGACCAAGTGCAAAGCTGCAGCAGATTGGCACAAACAAGGAAGGACCAAGGCAGTTAATGCCAAGAGCCATGAGGCCCACGTTAACTACCACTAGCCCACTGTTGACCAGAAGCCTTACAGATAACATAAACAGTCATTGAACACACATTCTGTATGTTCTATGTATTATATACTGTATTCTTACAATGAAGTAAGCTAGAGGAAAGGAAATGTTATTAAGAAAATCATAAGGAAGAGAAAATACATTTACAGTGGTGGACTGTAAAAAAGTCCATGTACAAGTGGACCCACATAGTTCAGACCCATGTAGTTCCAGGGTCCACTGTATATCTGTTGAACGAATATGGAGTCTGAAGGCTCACGTGTACACAGAGTACAGTCCTGGTTTACTCTGGTTTACCTATCAAGTTGTTTCATACAGCTGTAAACCATGTGTGGAATTCCAGCTCCAGAAGCCTCTGCTCTGAAAACCTTTCTTTTGGGCTCAAAGAACAACTAAGTGAGTGGCGTGTGCGGCCTAGGCACAGCCGCGTCCCGTGCTGCGGGTCCCGGCTGGACAGTGAGCGCCATTTACTTTCCAAATAAGCTACTCAAGAAAAGGGAGCAAAACAGAAAGAGGAGAATAGGTGACCGGGGAAATAAGAGTAGAAGAGCTAGAGTAAAAGTGAAAATGTTTAACATAGTTTCTTTTCTCTGGTTTTCCTTTAGAAAAAGCTAGCAGAGTGCAATGGGTTGTGTGGTTGAGAACGAAGAGGCCTCGATGAGGGTTTTGCTTTAACCCACTAGATCCTTCTGTGAGGATGGCAGGCTGCCTACCCTCTTCAAGCTCCCTTTCCATCTATAATGTAGGGCTTACGTTTTACGTTCCTCAGGTTGGGAAGCATGGATAGATGAGATTTTAAACACAGTTCTGGGCAAAAAGGGGGGTGAAGGGGAGTGGGAGGTTCAGGCTTCCAGTGACCAGAATGAATAAGTCATGGGGATGAGACGTAGGGCATAGGGAATATAGCCAGTGACATATAATAGTGCTTATGGTAGCCACACTTGTGAGCATAGTGTACTGTTGAGATTTGTCCAGTCAGCGTGCTGTACACCTGAAAGTAATGTAACATCGTGTGTCAACAATACTTTAAAAAAAGGTGCACAGTTCTGGGAAAATGGTATAATATTTATTTTTAAATATGCTTATAATTTTGGTTTTCTAAATACCTTATTTTACCTTCCTCTTATTTTTTTTCCTAGAATGTATTAGAGTCAAAATAAATGAAAGAGTTGTTTTTTCTTCATATTTTCACTGCCTTGATATTTATGAAGTTCCCTAGGAACTAAAAGATCTGACTGGATTTTGCAATGTTAAGAGCTTAGTGAAGTAAATTATTAAGAAAAATATAGTCAATCTCTTTGATCATTAACTTGATTTATTACAGGAACATGTTTACCATTCTCTTTATTTTTAAACCTTTTCTTCCTTGTTTCTTTTTGTTGATATTGTTTTCCCTGCTTTTTTTACAATTCTAATCAAATTTTATCCACTCATAGCATGAATAATTTGGAAGCCGGTATGCTATGGGGCCACAGGTAATCCCTATTCTTTTTTGGTGTTAAGATTGTGCTTAATCATCTACTTTATAAATATGGATAGTAGAAAAAAATATTCTGGAAGGTTTGGTGCAGAACATCCTGAAGAAGTAGAGTATTAACTGTTGGGACTCTCAGTTCATTCATAATGCATATTTCCTTTGTCAGAGAGAATCAGCGAATCGAGGTACATTGGCCCCAAAGTATCTTGAAGCAATGGCTATCATTGAACGCACACAGGAGAAGTTATTGTGAGTATGAGGCACCACAATAGTAATTACAAAGATTGCTGGCCAGGAGGTGTGGCTGGGAAATCCATGCTTCTCGGCTTACCTTTGTTTGTTCTGCTTCTTTTATCCTTATTAGTGGGATGGGTATCTCCAAATCTTCTGCTGGAGGCAATGAATTCTACTGCTCGCATAAAACATCCATCCTCACCCACAGTGGAGATGGAGGAAGTGAAAGTGTGTGTATGTGGGGAATAGGGTGTTAGGAGTGATCTATCCAGTATGCTTCTAAGAAATGAGCTAGAGATGTAAATGGAACCAGGAGAAACTACTCTGTTCAAGAAAGAATGCTACATACGCTGAAGAGTAGGAAGGACGGTATAGTTAAGATGGTTGAGAATGCGAAGAGAAGAGCATAGCCATGTAGACGTAGAACATGTACTCTAGGAAGTAAGAAGCACATTTCAAACTAGTTTTCTTGGTTTTAAAATCTGGTTTTAGAGGTCCTGGGCAAAGAAGGGACACTACTGGACTTAGTTTGTTGGATCACATCAATGAAGAGAAGCCAAAATTAGCTCCTGAAAAGGGGTTCCTTGCCTATTGATGGAGAATTCCAAATACCCAAAGGTCAGATTTCACCCAGAGCTGATAAATACATTGCATTCTTAAATCACAGCATGACTGTCACGCTGACATTACCATCCAAAGTAGCGTCCCGGACCCCAGTTCTTGCCTAAGGATTGATGCTCCTGCCTCCCTTATTTGTACCTTTCAGATGCAGTTAGCTAATTCTACTGCTTCTTCTAGACAATGAGTTTCTATACGTGAAAGATACTTTTTCAAACCTTTCCATTTTGTTGTGTTTCTCTGGACTCTGTCCCCATCAGAGAGGTTGAAAGCAGAGCCAGACAAGCAGAGGAGAAGTTTGAGGATGTAAATGAGAAACTTCATTATACCCTTATAAGAAATAAAGAACTGGAGAGAGAATTAGAGGCTATTTTGATGAGGTCTAGAGAGAAGGAGTTTGAAGGAAGAGAAGAAGAAAATGAAGGAGAAAGAGAAGATGGAGAAGATGAAGAAGACAATAATGAAGAAATCAGACCAGTAGAACATTCCCCAAAATCTCTAAAGAAAGGTGAGGCTTGCTTTCTCATTTTGCTTTATTTAGGTTATATTTATGAAACAAAACATGTTTGGGTCACAAATATCCTAGAAGAATATAAAATATTTTTAGTACTGATTTACTGGTTCATATTTTTCATAGGAATATACATACATTTAACTGTATAACTATCTTATTCAGACAACTCACAAAAATAAAAACAAATGACTAACAATCGTAGACTAAGAAACTAACATAAAATACAAGTTTTGCTTCTAAAACTGGCAAAGATTTTTAAAAACGAAAGAATATAATGCTGGTCACAAGGGGCAAACTAGTTTGTTTTACAGATAATACTTGTGGGTGGACAGACAGGTAACTTTTTCAGAAAATAATTTGAGAGTATGTATAGATATCCCTTAAATACATGCATATACTTTGACCTAATAATTTTATTCTTGAGGATCTAGTCCAAGGAAATAATCCTAAATACAGAAAAAAAGATTAATGCACAAAGTTGTTCAATGTATCATTGTATATAATAGAGGCAACCTACATCTCCAATCATGGAAGAAAAGTTAAATTATGTTATACTAATATACTTGAATAGTATACCACTATTAAAATGGTTTATAATGACATGGAAATTTTTAAAAAAGATTTTATCTATTTGAGAGAGAGAGCGAGAGAGCATGAGTGGGGTGACGGGCAGATGGAGAAGCAGACTCCCTGCTGATCAGGGAGCCTGATGCGGGGCTCAATCCCAGAACTCTGGGATCATGACCTGAGCTGAAGGCAGATGATTAACCAACTGACCCACACAGGTGCCCCAGGAAATTCTTTTTTTAAAATTTATTTTAGAGAGAGAGAGAGAAGTGAGAATGAGCAGGGGGAGGGGCAGAGGGAGAGAGAAACCCAAGCAAACTCCACGCTGAGTGCAGAGCCTGATGCAGGGCTTGATCTCATGACCCTGAGGTCACGACCTGAGCCTTGAGCCAAAACCAAGAGTCAGATGCTTAACTGACTGCGCCACCCAGGTGCCCTGGAAATTCTTATGTTTGAATATCAAATGCAAGAAAACACACTTTTATAAAGCTAGAAAAAAGACCGAGAAGGAAATTGTATCCAAATATTGATAGACATCGTCTCTGGTTGATGGAGGTTTGTGGGGAATTTTGACTTTGGTTTTTGGTACTTGTTTGATTTTCTATGATGGAAATAATCACCATTATTCTACAGGAAAAGGAATTTAACTCTTTATTTTCTTATCTCTAATTAGTGCAATAACCTGCCCTCAGGCAGTTTTCAGTAAACCCCAGGATTGGAGGCTAGTTTTTTATTTTTACTCTCACCTTCACCCTTTGGTGTGTTCCCAGGACAATTCCTGGTGCAAGGGATAGGACAGGGAGGATAGCGACTTCTGTCTCTGTCTCATCCCTATTTTCACCTATGCCCCCAGCCAAAGCGGTTGGTTAGCTAGTGCCCCACAGTCTCCCACCCAGGTACGTTGTGTTTGTACTATCACCAGACTGAGCTCATTTTCTCTCCTCCTGTTACCTCTCAACTGGTAAGATGCTAATTATTCCAAGCGTGACAATCCTTTAGCTTTAGGTTTGAATATATGGGAGATAGTTTTTGTGGATTAAAAAATTTTCATCTTACACTGTAATTTTATCCTGATGGTTTGAAAACTAGACTTTTTCCAGATTACAGAAAAATAAATATGCAAACCATGCAAAAGACCTGCATGTTAAACTGGAGAGGTTAGCTCAGTATGGAATGAGTGATGTTATTTTCTTCCATTTCCATAAAGATCTTGGGGATGAGGTTAAATCCAGAATGAAACGTATCAATAATTTTAAGTAGAGGATAACTATATACAGTTAGTCCCCAATCTATATAAACAATTGCCTGCACAAACATAGCCACCCTTTGCCCTCCTTCCAAATACTCCCTCAGAGTCATTCCCGGGGGCTCAGAGGTGGAGGATGAGAGGCTCTGCAAAGCTTAGGGGAATCAGCTCCTAAGCCAAGCCCTTCTCATGCCATGTAGGAGACCTGAACCTTTTCCCCAGAAAATCTGTAAGTTGGGCATTCCTTAGGGTTCGCAGGCAGCTCCTTTGAAAAATGCAGACCCTCCAGAGCAATATGAGATTCCTATGGCATATGCAGCATCATTTTTGTGTGACTTAGAGTATGAGATCACATTTCCCTCTAGAGTTGTGCAGTGTATGGTAAAGGCTTGTGGATGCAGGACAGGGGGAAGATCTGGACGGAGCAGAAGACATATTTATTTTTGTTTTTGTGTCAGTCTTTTTAATAATTAGCAAATCATTGTGCTCTGAGCTGTGAATGAAGACAAGAATAGAGAGGGAAGTTTACGAAGATGAGTAGTGGCTTAGGCTCTAAACTCAGTGAAGCCTACAGTTAGGAGCTAGGAGCCGGGAGAGACACTAAGAGCAAGACAAGGGCATGAACAAGATGACCAAGTGTGGGATGGAGGTGGCAGCAGCCAGTCAGAAAGATTCAAAGTGGGAAGCTTGGTGTCATGGAGTGGCCAGGGAGAGCCAGCTTGATGGCGAGAGGCCTCCTGCCTCCATCCCGAGGGCTGGGCCTGAGTCGGGTCTGTGCACAGGAGGCTGTGCACAGAGGGACCAGGAGACAGAACAGGAGTGCAGGAATGGGTGTGGGAGGACTTTGGATACTAGCTCTATTTGAATTGTTTTGTTTCCGCCAAGCTTGGGATATGTATAGGAAGGAAGGTGGAAATGTTCTTTCTGTTTCTCTGTGCTCCTTGATCACATAGTCCTCTTTTCCAGGACCCAGAACTCAGGTAACTAACTGATTACACTTTAACTTTGGGAAAATGCATTCTGAATCCCAGTAACCAACTTAGAGTCAAATTTTGGGCATACTGCCTGTTTATAGCTTGGGAGTTACTCAGGCAGAATGGATTTTTTTTTTTTAAAGATTTTATTTATTTATTTGAGAGAGAGAGAATGAGAGAGAGAGAGAGAGCACAAGAGGGGGGAGGATTAGAGGGAGAAGCAGACTCCCTGCTAAGCAGGGAGCCTGATGTGGGACTCGATCCCAGGACTCCAGGATCATGACCTGAGCTGAAGGCAGTAGCTTAACCAACTGAGCCACCCAGGTGCCCCAGAATGGAATTTTTAAAAAGCTTTGTAAAGTTAAAAGTCCTTAGTAAATATTAGATATTGTTACTACAATACTCTGATTTTTTTTTTGTCTTTTCAGAGGTACAGCGCAAGGAAGGTCCTCTCAACCCTAAACCCAGACCCCGGACTAAATCCAAGACCAAGTCCAAGTAGCATCCTTAGGGTGCTGGGCTTCAGCAGGGCTCCCCTCACTGATCTCTGTGTGCTACTTAGCTGACCCTGTGGCTCAACTGGAGGGGCTCCCTGTGCAACAGCTACTAGAAAAGTCATGACATACAACCCAAGAACATTTTCTCTTTAAAAGTCACAGTGAAAGCTGTAGGGAGTAAGTGCATTAGTTTATCTCCCGGATTAAAAATAGCTTGTGCCAAAATTTGCTGGCCTCTTCAAATGATTTCCTAACAGAGGTCTGTGAAAAGTGTCAGTTCCTGTCAAGCAAATAATGCTTTTTGAAAACTCTGAGCTCTGCAAAGAGTGGCAAATACAAAGCATTATTTTTTCAATTTAAAAGAGAGGAGCCTGATGATGCTCTTGGGTTTTGGCAGCATTTTCAGATTTCTTATGATTTCAGGCATTTTTATGATTTATTTGATTTTCACAATAACCCTACAAAGTAGGTGGGGGAGATGCTGTTATTATCCCATTTCTCAGAAGATTAAACTGAGGCCCCCCCAAGTGGTTATAAGACTCCCCAAGGTCACAGAACTGATGGGTGTCAGAGGCCCCTGCTTACTGGACCTGTGTCTGGATGTTTGACAGTAGTGATGGGCCACCAGGCCACTGCTCAGATGGTTTCCTTCACAGGGAAAGAATGGAAGATTGTACTGAAATTTAGGAATGCTGCTGAAGATTCACCCAGAATCGCCATTTTTTGCTTTGATCGCCTCACTTGTCTGCTCTGTTCATGACCCCGGATCCATTGAGGCACTAGAGATGGACTAACCTGCAAAAATAAGTTGCGAGTGACAAATGGACATTTGGGGCAAGCACTCGGCAAGGACCCCCTCCTACCTTACTGCTCCCGGCACACCTGCATTTGCTCTGATCTCTGGCTCCAAATACCTATGCACCTGCTTTGGCTCACATATTTGCTGTTCCTTTGGATTTATCTCCGAATTTTAGACCCTTGCCTGTTCCCTAAGCCTCAGAAACCCTGTGATTCAGAGTCCCCAGTCTTTTTCAGCCCAGTCCCTGGCCAGGCCTGCCTCTGCCATCATCAAAGTAGGTATAAGATGGGTTTCAAAAATGCTTAGGGTCTGTCCGCCTGAGCCCACTGGTTGACTCTTGAAGTCTGAGCAAAGAAACCTGACTTCAGACAGTTGGCTGTGCTTGTGGCCCAGCTGACAGCCAGAGCTGCCGCTCTTGGCCCCCGCTTACAGTTCTCGCTTGCTGGGGCATAGCCAGCCCTACCCTTTCCCAAAGAGATTCTTAGGTGATCCTAGAAAATTTGGAGGCTTTTTGGTGGGATTTCCGAATGCTGCTTTTTTTTTTTTTTTAAGATTTTATTCATTTGTCAGAGAGAGCACAAGCAGGGGGAGCGGCAGGCTCCCCACAGAGCAGGGAGCCCGATGCGGGACTCGATCTCAGGACCCTGGGATCATGACCTGAGCCGAAGGCAGATGCTTAACCAACTAAGCCACCCAGGTGTCCCTCCAAATACTTCTTAATTGATTTCCCACTTTGCAGGAATGAGTGGTCATTTCCATACAAATCAGCAGCCCCTCTCCCTGAACATGAGAACCTTGCCCCTCAGAACGTGGCAGCTCCATCGGGTGGATGGCTCAGTCTCTAAAGGCCAGAGTTAAGCCTGCTGCCACTACAATTAGGATGAGATGTTTGGCACCTAGTTAGGTGGTTTGGTTGTGAGCCAGAGAAACCCACTCTTGCAAACACACATAGAAGGCTAATTTATTGAAAGCGTGTTGGGGAGCTCAGGGGGCTGAAGGGAAGTCTTTTTTTTTTTTTTTTTTTGAGAGAGAGAAAGAGCACAAGCAGGGCGAGCGGCAGGCAGAGGGAAAGGGAGAAGCAGACTCCCTGCTGAGCGAGGAGTCCGACGTGGGGCTTGATCCCAGGACCCTGGGATTATGACCTGGGCCGAAGGCAGCCGCTTAACCGACAGAGCCACCCAGGCGTCCCACACACCTTAGTTTTGGATTGTACTGTCCAACTTGTCGTCCACACATCATTTCTAACCAGCTAGAAGGCAGCTCCTGGTGTCAAGAGGAGACTTCTGCTGCTGGGAACTTGCAGATAGCACGATAAGCTCACCTTGCTAGTCTCAACAGAGTTTCCCTTGACCATTCACAGTTTCATACAACTTAGTCCCGATATTTCCCACCCATCAAACACTCCCATCCCAATGGTCAGTTAATAGTTGAAGATATCACAGGCTGCTTGAGCAGAGCTGGAAGGTGCCCTCTGGCAAGCTAGTGAGAAATTTAAATGTTGACTGAGCCAGACAGCAGAGGAGACCAACGAATGGGTGATACCATAACTCCCCAGACCTGTAGGTAAATCTGCCTTTGACAAAAGGAGCCATGCTACAAGGAATTCTTAAGGGTCTTAAAAGCCATTATTATTACCTTATTACCCTGGCATTCACTCCTAATTGGTCCTTTAAATGGGCTGGATCATCAATGACCATGCCCTGGCTGGTCCACAAAAGCAAACCGCAAACCGCATCTATTAGATATTCTAGGAAATCACCCAGGAATTTTCCCCAACTCTCATCCTATCTATTACTGCCTCCTCAGTGCTTGCTTTCCTCTCTCTGGTACCCTCCTTTTGGCAGATTTTGGTATCTGCTTTTGGCTTACTTGGATTTGGCAGCCTTTTGGATTCCATATTTTGTATTTTGGCACTTCTTCTGGTTTAAAGCTTTGCCTGCTCCTTTGGCTTCAGAATCTCCCATTGCCTCCAGCCGAGACTAATCAACCTATGGCTCTCAGCACTGCCACTCCCCCACAACCAAGTATGGTCCTTGGGAGTAGGGAGGGAAACTTCTTTTGAGAAGATATGGAAATATTTTTCAGAAATGGATGAAATAGCCTTTTGAAACAAAATTCAAAGTTATCATCTCAGTACATAGTAACCATATAAGCTGATTGCTAAAATAATAAACGAATTGGGCATGATTGTATGAATATGTGGGTTTTGAAATCATCTAGCAGTTCTGCATAATCTTGGGAAGATGCATTGCTTGGCCAATGCCCTCAGGCTTGAAGGCTTGGGCTAGAGTGTGTGGCTTTCCCAGCTGTGGATGGAGGTGAGAAGGAGGCTTAGAGGTGTAGGACAGAGATGGCCCTAGGATGGCATCATTATATACTGCTATATTAGCATGTGCCACTAGGGAGTTTTTGGTCTTTTTTTGTTGGAAAACAGGAGGAAAGGCAGAGAGGGCAGAAGTGTGGAAGTGATCGAGAGGCAAAGCATCCTTGATCATGGGCCCTGTTTCTGTTACTTAAACATAGTGGGGAACCAGCCCATCCCCAACAGACACAATGCTATAAAAGTTTCTAGGTCCATTCTTAGGAGATCAGAATACATTTTCTCTCTTGAAATAATGCGCTGTAGGGTTTTATGGGTTAACATTCATAAACAAAAACCCTTTACAGGTGTGTTTATGTAAAATGTTTAAAGTTCTCACTTAGGGATACCACTATTTCTTTCTGTACTACCAACATGGAACTTCCCCTTATAAGTAGCATTTTACTAACATACACGATATTAGTAATATTTTTGGGATGTTAGTAAGATTTTATAATATTATTGATTTTTTTAAGTCTATAGAGGATTTGCTGTATACCTCAGGATGCTTTCTTATTTACTTGGCTAATTTTTTTCTATAGGTACATTTTTTTTTTAAATATTTTATTTATTCATTTGAGACACAGAGATAGAGAGAGAGAGAGCACGAGCAGGGAGAGAGGCAGAGGGAGAAGCAGGCTCCCCGCTGATCCAGGAGCCCGATGTGGGGCTCGATCCCAGGACCCCGGGATCATGACCTGAGCTGAAGGCAGACGCCCAACCATTTGAGCCACCCAGGTGCCCCTATAGATACATATTTCTAATTGAGTAAGACAAGTTAATGGAAAGTAAGACTTATAAGAATCTATTTATATTAAAGAATATCTGTACTAGAAAAGAATGCTTCAGGACATGTATAGGTCACATAATGTCATTACTGTTTGAGGTAAATGCTATACTGAGAATACGTCCGTCCCATGTTTACAGTGATGCTTCTTAAGATTTTAAGCAACATGTATCAGGTAAATGTTTTTGTCCTTTTCTCTATTTTAAAAAGGAGGCTCCATAAAAAGAATTCCTTTTAAATTCTTTTAATTAGATGTAAATTTTATATCCAGCCCAAGTACATCTTCTTTCATTCGCTCGGGAACATTTAAGTGTCACTGTGGTGCACCTATCAGGGTTAGATGTGAAGACCATAGGGTGGAACATACAAGGTTGAGTGTAGTTGGGGCGGGGGTGGGGGAGCCAATGACCAAGATGTGCCTTTGAGGAGTTCATAGTACAGCTGGAGAGAAGCCTGCATCTTAACTACAGGATTACAATAATGTGTGATGAACACAATAAAAAGGCCACGGGAGCAGCAAAGACCTTGCCAAAGGGGCCAGGGGGCATACAGCAAAATAGACATAAAATTCTTTCCAGAGTAGAATGTTGGCTAAAGCTCTCTCCCATAGTTTCTCTAATTAAAATGATCCATCTAAACTTGTCATTACATCATCTCACTGTCCCTCACAATTGTTTCGGATTGCTGAGTTGTGACTGTGCATTCCAAGGGTATTCCGTGTGGCCACCGAAGAAAGCGCGGGACGTGAGGACAGCGTGCCTCCCTCGGGGATGTGGCTGTCGCCTGACAGGCCCCTTCCAGGCCCGTTCCCCGTGGCTCCTCCTATAGCATGGGAGAGTCTTTCCTTTTAGGACTTGGTGGCTCGACAGGTTTGGAAGGATTGGGGAAGGGGAGGCTTCCTTGAGTTCTGCCGGGCGAAGACAGGAAATTGAGCAAGTCAAATGGCAGAGGCAAAACCACCGTGGAAGGTTTGTCGGTGGACAGGGATTGGAGGGTGTGGAGGTACCGCAGCTGAACAGCGGCCGGAGTGCCTGCCAGAATCTCAGCTGCCCTTCTCAGGGACTCGGACGCGGCCTTCTCCCCCTCCGCAGCGATCACCTGGGAACAGATGTGAGGAGAAGCAAAGTGGTTTGTTCTTACTATTCAGTGTCCCTCAGCGAACGAGCACGGAGCACCGCCTGGCGCCAGGCCCTGTGAAGCAGCCAGCAGGCTGACGGCCTTCTTGCTCAAGGATCCTGGTCTAGGGGAGATTAGCTGCACTCTTCGTTGTAATTTAGGGCCGAATTTGTCAAGGGCCCTGACAAGCATAGTGATGTGTTAGGGGAGTTATTAATTATGTCTGCAGGTGGGGCACCTGGGTGGCTCAGTCGTTAAGCGTCTGCCTTTGGCTCAGGTCATGATCCCAGGGTCCTGGGATCGAGCCCCACATCAGGCTCTCTGCTCAGCGGGAAGCCTGCTTCTCCCTCTCCCACTCCCCCTGCTTGTGTTCCTGCTCTCGCTGTCTCTCTCTCTGTCAAATAAATAAATAAAATCTTTAAAAAAAAAAATTATGTCTGCAGGGCCTTGAACGATTAGTAGGATTTTGCCATATTGAGAAAAAGTTGGCCAGCATTCTAGGCGAGGACGTGGAAGCCTGAAGCGGGGACTCCTAACCAGGGCAAAATGAACAAGTGAGCATTTCAGAGGAAAAAGCACGAAGCTCACCACCCAAATGCCACCTTAAAGTGGACTAAGAGGACTAGACTCAGATCTAGAAGCAACTCTGCCCAGAGGACCACTTTCTTCCCTTCCTCCTCTCAACACTCCTCGGTTACTGAGCTCCTCTGTGGTGGGGTTCTTCACCTGCTTTCTGTTCTTTAAGAGCAATCTGTCTCCCCTTCAGTCCTCCTTTTCCTTTTCCCAGCACCCCTCCCACCCCCACCTCCATCCCCAGGAGCTACTGGTGGCTAGTGCTGTGCGGCCGGCAGGCCTGCCTGGCGTGACCTTCTCTTGGCTCTGGCATTGAGTGAATCGGGCCTCATCGTGGTCGTCCCTCCACAGCCTGCACGCAGCTAGGGATACGGGTCTGCTGTCATTCACGCATTAACACAGAGGTGACAGGTGGCTGATATTACCAAGGAAAGATGCCAGCTCGAGGGAAGAGGGATGGCGGGGGTGGGGGGGGAGGGGGAGGATGCCTTTCAGGAGAGCGAGTGAAGGCAAGACTCGAGGAGGAGGAGGAGGAGCTCACTGTTTCCAGTGGCTTCAGAGAGAGGGCATCGCGGAAAAGGCTGGGTGGCATTAGTCAGGCGGCTATGAACACACTTTAAGGGAATACTTTTAATAGGGTGGGGTGGGGGGCACCAGCTCTGGATGAGTGGGAGGTGAGGAAGCAGCGGGAAACGTTCTCAGTGGGGGGTGGGCCTGCGCCGCACTGGCTCACCCGCACTTTGGCCTGTCTCTGCGCTTCGGCCTCCACAGCCAGGGAGTGCTGGAGCCCCGCCGGCAGCCTGACATCCTTGCTGGAAAAGAAAGAGCGTGGACAGGTAGGTGTGCAGCACTGCTTTTAGCAGCCAGGGGTTCAGCCAGACTGGCCAACGTCTCTGTTATTTCAGGGTGCCCGGCAAATTCTGATCTAACAGGGTGGCCGTCCCTAGACCTCTAAGGCCAATGGTGGGCAGAGAAGGGCCGCTCGAAAGTCAGTGCCTCAACTGCAGACACATGATCACTGATGTTACAGCAGCACCCTGGTTTGCTCTGTGCAAGGAGAACACATTCTTTAGTCGATAGATGATTATGATTTTTCCTACTTAAGGTTTAATCTAAATCCCAGCTATTAAATTTGAACAATGAAAAACAGCTTTGATGAGCCATACTATCCGTGATAGGGGAAGGCATCTAAGTTTATGAAGGAATTGATTTTGAAAAGAGTAGAACTGACCGCATAAGAGTAATACTTAACGTTATTACATAAAAGATACAAAATTGTATTTTTACCCTGTTTGTAACTACGAAAATGACATAGCCAGAAAACAATCTGGCAGTTCCATGGAGAGTTAAACATAGAGTTACTATACGAGTCAGCAATTCTACTGCTAGGTATATGTGAAAACATGTTCCCACAAAATCTTGCACATGAACGGGCACTGCGGTGTTCTTCAGAATAGTCCTAAAGTGGAAACAACCCAAATGTCCATCAGCGAACGAGCAGGTTAACCAAATGAGCTGTAACCACACAATGGATATTAATTGACCGTCAAAAGGAATGATGTCCTGATTCCTGCTTCACCACAGATGAACCTTGAAAACAACATGCTAAATGAAAGCAGCCAAACATAAAAGGCCATGTAACATTTGTATGAAATGTCCAGGATAGCCAAGTACACAGAGATTAGTGTCGTCGGGCTGGGGGGAAAGGGAGCAATGAGGAGTCCCTGCTTGACAGGTGTGGGCTTTCTTTTTGGGGTGATGAAAATGTTCTGGAATTAGACAGTAATGATGGTTACACCACTCCATGAATATAATAAAAACACTTGTACTTTAAAATGGTTATAATGGTGAGTTTTTATGTTATGTGAATTTTATCTCAAAAAATTATTTTAACTCCATGGAGAGAAAATCATGAAAGTAATTTGCCTAAATGTCACAGTGGTTGGTTATGGCTCTGAGTCCTAGGTAATTTTTTCCTTTGTCCGAATTTATGCAGTGTGGCTATAGTACTCATTGAAAATAATTTTTAAAAGTTATTTTAAAATAAAACCAAAATATTTCCCTTTATCACATTGTTCTTCTTGCTTAATTTCCTACCCACATTTCTGTTCTCTCCACTTTGATTCCCCAAATACAGGTCACTGAATCCAAGGCCACCTGTGGAGGGAAGAGTTGAGATGTCAGTGAGAACCTCCAGGTGGGAGTAGAGCACCCCTATGCCCTCATGGCCACTGTTCTGAACTGAGAAAGTACATTTCCTCTGAAGGAACATTCATTTCCTTTTTTGTTTTAATGTTACGGTGCCTTGCAAAAAGTTGCTTAACTTTGGGGCACCTGGGTGGCTCAGCTGGTTAAGAATCTGACCATTGATTTTGGCTCAGGTCATGATCTCAGGATCGTGAGATCGAGCCCCACATGGGGCTCCATGCTGAGTGTGGAGCTTGCTTGAGATTCTCTCTCTCTCTCCCTTTGCCACTCTCCCTGCTCTCTCTCTCTCTTAAAAAAATAAAGCTGCTTAACTTTGCACAGTGCCATTCAATAAATACTTGTGGAATTAAAGATGGTGTGGTAGGCTGAATAATGGCTCCCCAAGACATCCATGTTCTTATCTCTGAAACCTGTGAATGTTACCCCAGAAGAGACCTTGCAGATGGGATTAAGTTAAAATCGCCCCATTTATGGGGCGATTATCTAGGATTTTCCCTGTGGGGCCCAAATGCAGTCACAAGTATCCTTTTAAGGGGGAACAGAGGGAGATGTGGCTACAGAAGAGGAGAAGGTGATGTGATTCTGTGGGCAGAGTTTGGAGGGATTGAAGGTTGGAGGGATTGAAGATTTGGAGGGATTGAAGATTGAGGAAGGGGCCACAAGCTGGGGAAACGGGGCTGCTAGAAGATGGAAAAGGCAAGGAAATGATTTCTTCCTCTTGGAACCTCCAGAACGAAGCTGCCCTACTGACACCTTGACTTTGGCCCCAGTGAAAGTATTTTTGGACTCTTGGCCTTCAAAACTGTATGAGATTAAATTGGCATTGCTGTAAGTCACCAAGTGTGTGGTAATTTGTCACAGAAGCAATGGGAAACCAATACAGACAGTGAACTTGATAAATCTGTTTTAAGATGCACTTATTAGAGAACCAGAGTCTAATCTATCCCAAATGGTTTTCATTTAGAGGTGCTTCCTTCCTGCCGGTGGCCCCCGTTTGCCCCACCTCCCAGGCCCAGAAGGCAGAAGACGATGAACTGTAGGCTCTGGAAAAGAGGGGCAGAGCATGGCACGCCCTGGGGGGGGGGGCCCTACTCTTTTCTGGTTCACTGATGTCTGGTGATTTCTCAGTGGCTGGACATCTAGCTAGCTTAGTGCACCGAGAGCCCTGAGAAGGCTGACTCATCTGGGTGGGGGGGAGGGGGTGATGAGAGGAAGGAGTGTTGAAAAGCCCTCACACAGGAGGTGGCATCTTAAAAGACAAATAGGACTTCGCCTGTGGAGAAAAGGGAAACATTCCTTGCAGAGGAGGCCCATGGAAAATGCCGGAGAAACGCTGAGGGGGATGGAGGGTTAGCCCACGGAGGAGGAGGGGTTGGGGGGGGGATGGCAAGGAGTGGGGCTACAACAGTTGGCGCCTTTGTTCACTCATCCGGAGAATATTATCTGCCTGCTGTGTGACCTTGTCCTCTATCCTTTAGAGGGGAGGGGTGAACAGGAAGAGAGGCTGAGGGTGCCGAGGGGGAGCACGCTGGAGTGGTTTTGTTTTTTTTTTTTTAAAGGTTTTATTTATTTATTTGACAGAGAGAGACACAGCGAGAGAGGGAACACAAGCAGGAG